GTGGAGGAGGGAGGGAGGGAAGGTGTGACCGTACCTTCGCTGCCCCTCCCCAGGGCGCGGGGAGGAACCTCTGTGGGGCTGGGGCCTCCCTGCCTGACAGTGAGGGGTTTGGGGCGCCTTGTCGCCTTGTGCGAGAAATAAATAACGTCCCCTGGGCAGGCGAGACGATGTGTGTTTATTCCAGTAGTTCTGGGGGATGGGGGTGTGTGTGTTTTCCCTTTCCTTTTGCGAGGGCAAGCTTGATTCTTTGGCTTGAGAAACTGGGATGATTAGGCTTGCAGGTGGTTTCCAGGATTTTTTTTTTAATGATTGCTAATGGTTTTGGAGATCTAGACCTCTGTGAACCGAAGATTGCTAATTAGAAACCTGTTTTTCTTAATTGCTTTTTAATGGTGATTAAGATTCTTTTAAGCGTGGTTCACAGACTGTCATAAGCTATTTCGTGGTAATGGCTATTTTAAGATAGTGGATTTCATTAAAATTTTATTATTTGCTTTCTCCTTGTAGTAGTAATTTCCACTGCTGTCAGACTGTTGGAGAAAACGCTCCTGTGTCAGCATCAAGTACTTAAGTCAGATTTGCTAATGTGAAACTGAACAGTTCAGCTGTGTAGTGCCATAGCTGAGCTTAGTGGGAGTTGAATTTGACAGGTACTTCTTGATTTCAGTTTCTGGAATATATACGTGGAAATTTTGTTGGTCTTGTTAAATGTATCTTCATTTACATAGCTTTTAATTTTTCTGAGGGTAATTTGTTTGATAAAATCCCATGTCTTGAAATGTTACACTTTTTTTTTATTATAATCATAAACTGTGTACATGTTAAATTTTTTAACATAACAGCATTGTACTGATTTTTTTAAAAAACACTAGATATCTTCCTTAAAACAGGTAAAAATATGTTCCTTCTTCTATCTGTATCCTATGTTCAATGCTTAAAATAATGTTCCCAAACTGCTTCTGACTAATGGTCCTTTAGTTTTTACGGTTACAGATAAGAAAACTTGAATCCTGTGATATAGTCATTTTTTTGTAATGGGGATTCGAGATCTAGCTAAGCTCTACCTGTGTCCTGCAGGGGAAAGAGGGCTACTATTAGAGTATCCCATTTTTGTGGCGTGTTCGTGAGGACTTATTTTGTACCCATAAAATTAAGATCTGCCTCTTAAAAATCTTTATTCTTAAGATCAAGAGGATGTTAACTCTCTCCGTTGTCCGTAAGCAAGAGGGAGACTTGAACTGCCAGTCTAGAAGCCAAATTGCCTACTGTACTCATCCTCCGATCTATTCAGTTTCTTTAACTGTAGCTGTTTTAAAATAGTCACCTCAGTGAGTTTCAGAAATTATCTGTATCTGTTTCAGTGTTTTTGAGGGATACACAGTTTTTCAGAACGTGTTGAAAAAGGCTGGAAAGTAAAGTTGCAAGAGCCACAGCACAAGCTTGAAAGAACACAGGATTTTGCAGGGTAGGGAAGAGAAGTCCAAAATTAGCGGTTCTGTAGGTCTTGGTACCTAGCATGAGATTCCCAAAACAATTCCTCCACTTCAAATCTGAAGGGTCAAGAATTATCCAATTGCAGTGCTTTTAGTCAGTTTCCTTTTATTATGTATTTCTCTTGGCATTTTGCCTTATTGTTGGGGGAACATCATTAGTATCTGTAGAAGTTTTATTTCTGGCAAACATATATCACAAAAATCCCACAGTGACCTCTGTGGAAAGGTGAAGGATTAAATGTGCCATAGCTAAGAACTCCTTTCTGTGCTGGAGTTGGTCTTTGCAGGTCCAGGGGCCTGCACGTGATGGAAAAGTTCATAAAGTTATTTTGCCTTCTCTGGAAAAGACATAGTATCTTATTCTCTAGGTCTATGAATTTGCTATTTTTGTTTCAGTTTGGTTAGCATAATGTTCTTCTGTATGCAGGATTACAGAAGTAACTGCTTTTGTTCAGGAATGTCTTATTATCAACGTGAAAGTTGTGATTAGGATGCTTCCCTCCTCCTCCTCATAATTAGTGTATTTCCTAAAGTTTTCTTCTTTCCAGATGTCATGTATCTCTTTTTGATCTTGATAAGTAAAGTAGGTAGTGGTAGGGAGGAAAAGAAGTATATGAAGCCTTTTGGTAAATAAGATCAGTGTGTATATAAAGTGGTGTTCTATGTATGTGTGTGTATGCATAGTGTATGTCTATATATACATATGTATAAATAAGAATAAAGATTGATGTAAACCAAAAAGTGAAATAGGATGGTTTGATATTTTCTGCAGGGATCGTGCTTATTTGGTTCACACAGTACTTTGTTCAGTTGGGTCTGTGGCTATGGCTGCAGCTTTCATGCTTAAGGTTACAAATACCGGTATGTATTCTCTCCCAGCTTGGGAAAGTAGTAGAGTACAGTAGTGTCTTCTGCACTTTATTTTTCACATACTCTGCCAGAGTTGTTTCAAAAAGCCTACCCTTTTTGTAGGCTTCTGAATTTGGAGGTATGGACCTCTGTGTAGTGAATTTAAACTTGCTGACAATGAGTGCTCGTTCCTAAAACTTCTTTTTGGGCATCTGCCGGAGTAGTTCATGGAACCATCCAGGGGTTTGCTATAACAGGTTGAAAGCTGCTACTTCATACTTATCAGATATTTTTTTGATTCCTCACAGATGAGACTTTTGGATGAGCCTGATGGAGAAGGAATGTTTTAGGAATACTTTTATGGTGGAAAAGTCACTTTGGATCAATGACTCTGCAATTCAGATTATTATTTCTTTATGATCTTAGAATTCTTTTCCAATCTTAATGATTCTATAGTGGTCAAGCGTTGGAACAGGCTGCCCAGAGAGGTGGTGGAGTCCACCATCCCTGGAGGTGTTCAGAAAATGTGTAGACGTGGCACTTGGGGGCATGGTTTAGTAGGCATGGTGGTGTTGGGTTGACAGTTGGACTTGATGATCTTAGAGGTCTTTTCCAACCTTAATGATTCCATGATTCTATTAAACTGGGAAAACAACAAAGTTGCAGAACCTGATGATGACGTGTCTTCTAAATTACTATGGTCTAAATAATACTTATTCCAAAACAAGGACTGCTTTCACTGAACTATAGCTGACTGTTTTCTCTTCATGGGACTTTTGTTTTTCTGTGCAGATTGGCTGATGAATTACACATGCCTTCCCTACCAGAGATGATGTTTGGAGACAATGTCCTAAGAATACAGCATGATCGTGGTTTTGGAATTGAGTTCAATGCAACAGATGCTTTAAAATGTGTCAATAATTGTCAAGGTATGATCAAAGTGGCTTGTGCAGAGGAGTGGCAAGAGAGCAGGTACAGTATTTTATCACCAGCAGGCAAGTACTGGTGTGTTGTATGTGAAACTGTCATAAAGTGGTTGAAAGAACAGACTGAACTTGAAGACCGTGTTGTGTTTGGTTCTACTGTAGATACAGTGTGTGATCACAGAAGTCATTTAGCTTTTCTTTGCCATGATCATCCTCTCTTTTAAATTGGGTCAGCTATATTTTTCAGTTGTATCTTGGCTTTCTTAAAAATAAACTACAAGTTTAACATGGCTTATTGTTGTTTCTGTTTTTCAAACTCATAGAGCCTTGAGCAATACAAGATTGTATCGTGTGGCGTTTCAAAGTGCAAAATGCTGTACGTGTTCAAAATTTTAGTCTTAAGAATATAGCGGAACAATTACCATGCACGAGAACTATTTGTACTGCTTAGTATTTATGAAACCAGTTGCAGAGCACCTAGAAGTAAAGCACAGAGAGAAATCAAAGCTGTTATGAAAACTAAGGCAAATAGCAGTGTTAATGATTGCTATGTGTTGTCAGCAGATTGCTTTCTGTCTACTTAAAGAAAAAAATTATCTTGAAATACAAATTTTTCAACAACATTCAACTAAAATCTTTATTTTGACTCATAGGACTGAGACTGTGTTAGCACAGGAATTCTGGTAATGGTTTTATAATTTATTGTGGAAATGTTGTAAAAGAAGCAATACTGTATGATTAAGTCTTGACATCTTCATTGCAGCACAGACGATGCTGCTGTTTTTCTTCTTGAAGAGTGTGGAAATTGTATACATAATCTTATGTAAGGTTGTGATTTTTTAAGAATTACTACAACGCATGCTGTTTTCTCTTTCACTTCTTGAGGAGTGAGACTGAGCACACTAAGGAAGTTGTGAAGCCGTATGATTGGACTTACACAACAGACTACAAAGGAACTTTGCTGGGAGACACTGCTACATTAAAGGTAACCATTTCTCCTTGTTAAATGTTGATTGCATATTGTTTCAGTCAAACAAAGCTTAGAAGCTGTCATTTACCTTTTGATAGGCTTCTGTAAAATCTTACAGGCTTCATAGTTTCTGACTTCAAAGTATAATTTGAGTTTTCCGTGTCTCTCACCATGTTATCAGTCACGGCTTGGTTTCAGAGCTTAGTTTTTTAAAGCATTTTAGGATTATATAAAAGGGTGCCATTATGCCCCTCACCGAAAACTTACTCGGAGAGTAATGCACATGAGAATCTTCAGCACTTGCTGGATGCCCCTCTGAAGCCCTGAGCTCCTCACACACAACAGCACTGTGTCATTCTCTAATAACTTTACTCTTTGTTTGCTAGTTTGTGTAAGCAGATATGTAGATCTGGCTGCTTTCAATGGCTTTATGTTTTTCTGCAACGGCAACTCCTCATGCTAAACCAACAGGCCCTCCTTTGTCTTTATTTACTTTAAAATAAAGCTTCTCTTTACTGTATACAGACCACTTGCTATATTAATTCACTAGGATTGCATTAGTTATAGATCACTTGAGTTATTCTGGAATTAAAAGTGCAGCATAGAAATAAACGATGTCTTGTTGGTCTGTAGTCTTTGGGCAGCAGAAGCATATGAGCGTATATGGAGACCATGAGATGGAAAACACACAGGTACTTCATTTCCATGGAAAGGCTTTATTAGAATCCTGTGCAGGGTTTGTAGTTGGCCAGAGATACTAAGTGGATGGAATACTACTTATAACCCAGAACTTCTCATTTGTATGTTAAACATGAGGCATCTTTGAATGTTTTCATGTACAGAAGGTGAGCGGAACTGTTTGCACCTGAAAGCCTACTGAGCCTGTACCCAGAGGGCACTTTATTCAGAATTTCCCACTGCTGGCTTTTGCTTTGATCAATGTTTCCTTTTGGAAACTTTGGTTTTAATTTTAACTTTTCCTCGTAGAATTTTGGGATGTTTTAAGCTTAGTGCCCTAAAAGCTTTTTCCTTTATAAAACTAACAATTGCAGTATTTAAAAGATCAGGACAAACTTTATGTAGTTTGACAACAAATTAATACGCTAACTGTTCTTAATCTTTTCTTTAGGTTGTTCCTACAACAGAACACATAAATACAGAGAAATTGAAAGCCAGGGAACAAATTATGTTTTTTGAAGAAGTACTTCTGTTTGAAGATGAACTTCACGATCATGGAGTATCAAGTTTGAGTGTAAAAATAGTGAGTACTAAGAACTGTATGCAAGACGCTTGGTGACTCAGTTGGCTAATGTATGCAAAATAGTCACTTTGTGCATGTTGCTCCTTATGGAATTTCAAGTTTAAAATGCAGAGTTTTTTATCCTTGCTCTTATAAATATAATCTTACTGAAAACTGTGTGGTCTTGAAATCGTTCTGTCTGTTGCTTCAGGGACCAATCTTTTCCCTCTTTCTGCATCCTGCCTAAGAATCTTTTGAAACACTGTCTGCCCTGCTGTCCTATGATAGCTGTAGCATATCAACAGCCCAAATTTTGACTTTACCACTGCAAGCTCCTGATTCTATCTTTGGTTGTGAATATCTGATGTAGATAAGTGCCTACGTAAATTAAAACTTTTTAATATATGTCTTTATTTTTGTAGAGAGTCATGCCTTCCAGCTTTTTTGTGCTGTTGAGGTTTTTCTTGCGAGTTGATGGGGTACTTATCAGGATGAATGATACAAGGCTTCATCATGAGGTAAACCCTTAGTCACCATCATGAATATTTTACAGATGCTCCCTTGCCATGTTACTTTCAGAGAAGACCTGCTGATGATGCTCCTGTAGTTTAATACTGATGTTTAGGGGCATAGAGGTTACCTGAACTGAACTTTCAAATGTATTTTGTTATTATGGTGGTGCTGAAGTAGCAATCAAGTACTGGATGCCATGGGGCTAGGTATTGTATAAGCAGAGTAGGCAATCCTTATATGAAATAATCATTTAAATATATTTGACAGATGCAGATTAGAGAGGAAGTACAAGAGGAAAAATAGGGAACAGTAAATGGTGTGACATTGTTCTTATCCTCGTCTCCAAGTAAATGGTTTTTGGCTTGTCTAATAAATGACTGCAAGTTTTAACTTGCAAATAACTGCCCATACAACATTGAGTTCTAGTATCTCATAAATAATAGAGAATGTAACAGTTGTGGTTTGCTTATTCTGTCTAGCTCTATTCATACTGATGTAGGAGTTCAGCTGAGTAAAGATTAACAAGCATATTCAGTCACAGAATTTATTTTTTTTTCCATGCATGCACGCAGTAACATGACTTTTGGGAAAGAGAACATTGCCAGACATCTTTCTCTGTGAATTTGAACATACATTTCTGCTCCCAGGTGAAAGTCTGTGGTCAACAAAATTCAAATGCTTACTAAATTCAGTGTATTTAAAATTATTCTTTTGTGCTGATTCTAGATGATAATTTTGTAATTAATTTTTGCCATTTTTTCCCATTAGGCTGACAAGGCCTACATGTTGCGAGAATACACGTCCAGAGAAAGCAAAATATCAAGTTTAAAGGTACTGCATTTTTAAAATGTTTTTTTTCCTGTCTGCTTTTTAAAATTGTTTTATGGTCAGCATAGAAAATACTGTGTCTGTAAGTCATTGTTAGGTTTGGAATCTATACAGAGGAAAAACCTTTCTGCTTGTGCAACATTTATTTTCGTGATTTCACGGCAGATTTATATTTGTAAATGCTCAGATCCATTGGTCACATGACAAGATGTGGGATTGAGTTACTTTTTCTACTTTTGAGTTAACAAGATTTTTTTAAGTATTATTTTATTTTTTCACAGAACTATTTAGCCACAAGATCAGGTAGTCCATGTCCCATGATGCTAAATATCAGGGCTGGTTGTATGCTTGCAAGTAGTATTAGGGATTAAGATCTGTGTGGTAATACACTCATTCAGTTTTTCTCAAATAAGTTTAATAGCCCACCTTAAAACTCTGGTAATGGCTCAGAATGTTTTGTGGCACATTTGGAGTTGCAGCTGTTGACCCAACACCTCATCTTCGCTACTCTTGTTATATTCCTTCTCCCTTGCTTTTCCTTCACCTGTGAAAAGTGACTAATGTGTTACTAACCTTCTGAGGGAATATTTTTGCAAAATGTTTTTCTTTTTGAGGAAAGGGGCACTGTATCATTTCTTAACAATATATGATCCCTATAAACCCTAAATCCAGACACCAGCTTTTTGATAGTTTCATGGGTTTTGAAATATAAATCAGTGATCTAGGTTTTACTTCACCTCATCTTTAAAAATTATCATCTATGCTGTTAAATATTTTTTTACTGCCTATTGTTATAGAGAGGAAATGCATATGGGTTTTCAGTTCCCTAGATCAGCTTGCACAGGTATAATAAAAAAGATTCCTGCTTCTCTTAGGTTTGAAATAATTGAAACAGTAGTATGATTTCTTGCATGTTAGGGGTAGCCAAAATACAGGTTGCATTTGAATAGCTCTGGATACACTACTTCAAGAATGTTGTTAGAAAGTTTAAAGGTAGTTTGCTCAGTATAGATTTTTTTTTTTTCATCAAATACCTTGTATGTGGTGAAGTTAAGTTGTCTACAGGAATCTCCAGAGAAAGATATTAATTAACTTAAAGAAACCACCTAATTTCTTCAAATATGACATTATAATCCAATGAGTTTTAATATTTCATATAAATGCCTGTGGTGAGCTTCATAAAACTAAGGTACATGTTGAGGTATATGAATTATCAATAGCTAAATCTGAGCTACTCCAGTCAATACATTGCAATGGCTAGAAGATATTAAGCATGGGATCCCTTCCTAGTCTCATCTAGAACTACACCCTCAAAAAGGCTGTTTGTTACATTCATATGATAAATATATTTTTTAAAACATTGTAGCTGTTCATGAATGTCTCTGACTTTCTTCTGCTCTTGTAATCTGCTGCTTAAAAACATTAAATACCTTGCCTGAGTCTGTTGATCCATACAAGGAGTAAAAGGCTGTATGTACATTCGAAGTTACAAGGTAAATTTTAGTAATTATACCTGACTTCAGATGTTTAAATCAGGTAAATTATATATAGATTAATTGTCCATAAAAGTTTGGGTTTGGAATACCTTCTTTTCTCTTCCCCCCCCCCCTTTCATTCACTTGTTTCGTATAAAATTTTTGCTTTTTAGCATGTTCCACCTTCCCTGTTCACGGAACCTAACGAGATCTCTCAGTATCTACCCGTAAAGGAGACAATCTGTGAAAAACTAGAATTCCCAGAGAAGCTGGAGCCTAAACCAGAAGCATCACTGGAAACCATGTGTGTTAAGTCTAAATAAACGTGACTTTCTATGGACTTGAAGTAGACTGGAGATAATGTGATCATGTAACTATTGCCATGGGGGGGCAGGGGGGCAGTTTCACTACTAGTGGAATAAAGAATTTGGCTAATTTTTCTGTAGCCCTGAGAGAAAACATTTCAAGCAGGTTTTGCTAACAGTGTTTTTTGTTTGTGTTTTTTTTTTTTAACCTGTATCTGGAGTTAATGATAGACTGGTGATGAGTTGTAGTCTTCAACGGTATTGGAGAAAGACTGTCACGATTAAGAAGTCTGGGTTCTGTTTAGTTTGCCGGTTAGGCAGGAGTATTGTCTGGACCCTCCACCACAAACACTTCTATGAAGGTTTTGTTATTGCTGCTTCAGATACTAAGAGATTACTGGAGTCGTAAAATTGGCATGATTTTATTTTTATTGAGAAATCATCCACAGTAAAAAAAACAAAATAAAACTGTAGATTTTCCTCTGCAGTTATTTTGAGCTATCAGTCCTAAACTACACATTTTGCTTGGCTTCCCCTACTGTGAGCTGATAACCAACTACTAACTCTGATCCAGACTCTTAAGAATATTCATTTCATCTGAGGATAGATTGGGGGTGGGTGGGAAATTGCATTTGTTTGACACTATATAAAGGTAAAATTACCTTATTTGTGAGGCATTAACTCCAGAGCAGGAGAAAAGCTGGAGGTTTAGACACACACACACACACACTGACTGGTAGGTCTCTTCACAAATACTAGTTTAATCTGATGTCAACCAGATTCCTCTAGGCAGTTCTGAAGACTATTACTTGGGGTCTGTATGCTGCTGCAGTCATGTACTATATTTGAAACACATTGTGCTGTATTGACCTTCTGTTGGACATATCAGATGGTGCCCATATATGATGGTTATACTGCCCTGGCAGTCAAATTGCTAAATTCCAGAGTGGTTTATGGCTGGGGAGGAGAGGGGTGTTTAGTCTCTGATCTGTAAAGGATGCTGGTATTTGGATGCATTTTGAGAAACAAGATCCTATATAGCCTTAAAAGGACGCGAACATGTATTCCAGATACATCATTTTGGTTTATTTTTAAAATTCTTTAAGTTCTGATATTAATAGAAGTGTGATCACATGTATAGTCATGGTTTTAACTCGAACATTTCATGGATTAAACTTCAAATATTTGTATTGCTTTTGGAAATCCTAAATTATGTTAATGGTTGGGCTTAAGAATGGGGGAGCTAAACAGACTTGTCTAGATTTACTGCTTACACTCAATGAAGTGCAAAAAGCAAATGACTAGTGAAAAGCAGGCCTTGTGGTTTTAGGTGGTGGCAGGTAAGAATGTGTACACATTCTGATGTCTTGGAGATTTTTGTTTAAAAATCTTCATATTCTATACTGCATGGCTTAATAGAAACAATCCACCCCAAACCCTGGTATTTAACCAGGTTTTTTGAGAAACAGTTTTCACCTAGAGAAGACCCTGAGGTTTTTAGGAAACAAAGTCTACTGCCATCTAAATGACTGTTTCCTTAATAAAAACAACACATTTTCTTTCACTTTTATTTGAGGCAGCCTAGTCTAATGAATTGATCATAAGGTCAAAAGGCAGGAACTAACTGCAGTTTCTCCTGACACTGATTTACTCTGGCCACGGGGAAGTGACTTCCCTCTGTCTCAGTTCTCTGCATGTAAGAATGAGAGTTAATACATGCCTACCTCACTGAGGGTTTATGAGGATTATTTTGTAAAAAGTTATTGATTAGAATTATTTTTTTTTTCCTGACTACACCTTCAGCCTTATCTTTGGAATCCTCTGGAAAGGATTACTGCAAAAAATATTATGATCCATAGGATAAAATGAGTGAAGAGTACTGAAATTAAACAGTCTCTGACAAATTATTATCACCCAGACATGATCTGGGTGAGTGCATTTATGACCACTTTGAAATAGGGGTGAAGTCCTCTATATTCCCCATTAGAGTCCTAAAGTCTGTTGGCTTTTTTTCATTTTTCCTGCACTTGTTTCCTAAAGATTTTAGTGTCAGGATGAAGAAGGGGCTGCAAATGAATGCATGAAAATTCATTTGGTAATAGAAGATTATTTAGGTCCACTCCAGTGATAGAGGGATATGGGAGAGAGTGAAAAGGAAGGGAACAACAAGTGGGGGTGAAGAGATCTTTTGCTGGTGGAAGTAAATCATGGCACTTTTTCCTCTTAAGCAAATAGTATTTTACATGCCTTAAAGGCTTAAAAAACCACACTTTAAAGCTGGTAGTGACTGAGAGGAGAGCTGATGTAGTGCTAGCATGAAGGAAACTATATCTGCATTCGCTAATTAAAATTGTGATTTGGGTTTGGTCAGTGATGCTAATATTAAGCTCCATTGGGCTAAAGTATGGGGGGGGGAGGGGACCCACAGAATTGACACCTAGCGTTGAAAAGGTGCTCTGCATGTTTAGCTTATACTGTGTATTTTACCTTCTCCATCATACATACTAATTTGTGAGCTGTTGATACAGTTGTCTTGAATGGACTTGAATCCTGACTATGTAGATATGTGATACCTATCTATTTTGGGTGCTGTGCATTTAAGTGGAACACACATGTTGGGGAAATCACAAAAACATGTTTAGGAAGTTACAGTTACTACAAAGTAATACTTGGAGCACTTTGTGACTCTGTTACACCACACAGATTATCAGAAGCAGCAGTATAAACTGGTGTACCGCAAGCTCTCTGGTACAAATTTTCCACAAAAAAGTACCGCTTTGGATACATAATTTTAGGGGGAGTGGGGTGATTCTCCAGCTGTTTTGTGGCAAGTTTAATATGTGGCAGTTTATATTCTTTCTTGTATGTCGCTAAATAAAATGTACCAAACATTTTATAGTTCTGTTTTTATCTGAGTAAAATAAACTGAAATAACTACTCGTGATGCTGAATTTTGTGTGCTAGTAAGATGTTGCATCCATGTGCCTTTGTTTGTCAACAGACCATTCTGGCTAGTTATGAAAATAAGGTGAGACATTTTTCAGAACAGGGGAAGAGCCACAGTAGTGGGAGGACAATGAAATCTGTATTACTATTTCTATAAGCTTCACTGTTGCCAAGTCATGGATTCAAAAGCGGTGGGAGGAGACAGGGTACAACTAGAGAAGTAAAGCTGGCAGAGGGTGTGGGCTCTCTTTTCTGAACTCTGGATAATTTAGACGTCAGCTATTGTATGCTTGGAAGAGTCAGAAGTGCCTGATGCTTAGGGAAAGTTTAGAGAGTGATTGTTGTCTCTTTAAAAAACCCAACCCAAACCTAGAAATTACAGAGATCATCTCTCTGCCCCATGAGCCTGGGCATGGGCGCTAGGCTGGTCTGTCTCAACCTCACTGATGTGGAAGATTTTCAGTACTGAAGTTCGTGCACCTGCTCCAGGAGCGCTGTCACAGGACGGCTGGAGTGTCCGGGGGAGAAGCACAGGACCAGCGACACCATTTCCAGGACCCTTTTCCCCTCAGCGTCTCCCACCCGACCCCCCGTGACGGCGGGGCACCGGCGGGCTGTGGCTCCGCTCGTAAGGCGGCTGGTTTCTCCCCTTCATCGCCGGATGCGGTCCCGCCTCCCCCGCCCGGCGGACTACATCTCCCGGCAGCCTCCG